GAATAGAACAGTCGTTTCAGAGCTAAATCCAACCAAAGCATGAACACGGATAAAAGCATTGAAGCAGAAGAGATTTTAGAAGTAGTGATTAGTCAGAGCGCAATCCTTTCCTTTGCAGCTCAGATTTTGAAAGGAATCATTCACACCGCTTCGAACGCTTGCACAAATTACAAGCGGTTTGTTAATGTAATCCTTCTGTTTTGCCCCACCTCTCATTAAGAACTATTCACCGTACATACACAAGGAACGTCACTACCAGAGAATGGCTGTATGCCTCAGTTATTTTCAAAGAAACGTAATTACATTAGGAATCCAATTAATTAACGGGCTCCGTTGCCCAACTTTGTGCAGTATAACTACAAACTGCATAACTTGGCTCAAAACCATATTTTGTTTTGTGTTGTGAACGATTTATTTATGCGTTTCGTGAGTACTCGCCAGGCCTACATAGAAAATCATGGTCTCGCTGTTAACTCCTCTGAAAAGCACTTCGTTTGTAATCATAAAACTTGAGGCAGGCTTGCTGTTGAGAGGTGGACCGAGCACTTGTGTGTTCGCTAACCTGGAGCACCTTACACGCCATTCATGGACCTTTCCCGATGGAGATAAGCATCGAAGGCAGAAGCAGATGAGAATATCTGAGGATGTTTCGAATCAGCCTCTGTTCCAGATGGTGCTCTTCCTCCTCTCCAGTTTTAACCATTTTTTTGGAGGCAGAGCAATCAAGAGAACTTATTCCTACTCCACGAAACGCACACCAACCCACAATTTCAGTCCAATGGAAATTTCGAGGGCTACTATCGAAATTGGGAGCAAGTAGTGGCTTCACTGCTGCGATTCGAATGAACCCAGTAGTCTTCAGCTATTTTATCTTCACAACTGTCACTCCAAAAAAGGCTAGGCCTTCAAGAGTCTAGTTCAATTACAAAAATGCTGTACAGTGCAAAAAAAAANAAAAAAAAATGTGCGATTTATTCAGAATCATTTGCATAAATGCATTAGTAAACAGTGAGAGTTAACTTCAATAGTGAGCCATTCATGTAATCTTAACGAGGAGGAGTAATTTGTCAATTAAATACAATCACCGTGATCTAACTATCGAATACTACTACCGCGTAATAAGTGATGTGATGGCAATAAAACAGAATCGTTCAAATTACAATGGCGCAAAACTAGATGATCCCATTGAACCGTTCATAGCCCTTACTCTACTCTTCGGATTCAGAGAATCTATCTTGCTCTGGTTAAAAGAGTTTCAAAATAATCTGCTAACGACTGCCACCGTAATTGGCTTTTGATTTGGAACGACAGTGAATAAGCGCCGTCGAATTTCCGGATTAAAAGCAAATATTACAATTGGAGTAACGAGATTATTAGAAATGATGATCAAATTGAGCAGGATATTCAGGTAGAATTGGCCATAGCCGGTAACGCCTAAGAAGGGCACCGTGAAAAACGCTACCACCTCGACGACGATCAGAACGCTTATCAGTACTGTCTGAAAGAACTGTAGATTGGACTATATCATTCCTAATTACTCATGTTTTTTGTTATTTTCACCA